CACACACACACACACACACACACACACACACACACACACACACACACACAAAGAAAGATAATAATAAAATGTGATTAAAAAAAAAACAACTAAATGAAGAGTTCAGCGAGCAGGCCTAAGGCATCAGATGTAATAGCAAAGCAGACCATGCGCTCAGAGGTAGATTAGAGGAAGACCCCAGGGAAGCAGAGAGTTGTGAACAGGACATGCAGAAACGGTGGACATGAACGTGAAACTCCATAGGAAGGGAGGACAGAGGTTAGTAATCTGAAGAAACAGTGGCACCAACTCTCAGATTCAAGAGGCCAGTGGATCCTGAATGGAATTAACAGAGAAAACCGTGCAAATATGTCACAATGGATTTAATTAAACCAATCAAGGGGAGAAATTTTGCGTTTAGAAAGCTCTCACTATGTAGATTAAGACATCAGCAATCTCTTGATCCTCCTTCCTCAGGCTCCGGAGTGTTGGAATGAGTCACAATACCCTATCGGAAACTGTTAAAGCTATCACAGAAAAAAGATCCCCATCAGTGATGGTTGTTGAATGGGAATGGTCTTAATAAATACAGCAGACAATGTTGTCAGTTTGCTAAAGGGTGTCTATCACTCTGGAGTCTGCATTTCAGCAAATGTATCCTTTAAGATGGAAATTCCAGTCTCTGTGAACCTAAATTGTTTCACACTGGCCCAGAAAACTGTAAATAAAGATGGAACGTGAATAAACTCACATGGGATGCCAGATATAATTAGGAGAATAGTCTCTGGGAGCTTTAGACCCAATGCAGGACACAGCTTAGCACCATATCCAGCCTGTGGGGAGAGAGGCTATCCACTCAGAAGCCTGTAGGTAAAGCAGACAGTACTCCTTGCAGAGAGGCAAATTCTCTTTCTGAAATGTAGAGGGTCAGCCAGCTCACTGGCTCCCAGGCTTTGAAAAGGATTTGTGATTTTTCCGTGTGAGAGCAGCTACATTCACAGTGGAAGCTGGTTTCTAACCCTCGCTTGCCCCATTAGGACTTTGTGCTTGTAGCCAGCACAAGTGCTGTGGTTCCTGGTAAGGGCCTCCTTCCCTCCTAATTGCATACTTCTTCCCCACCTTGGGAGAAGTGAGTTTCACTTGGAACACCGGATCTGGTAGGTGGGTATTAGGAGAGACTGCCATAGTGCCAGGTGGACTGGGGGCACTGTCTGAACAAAGGCCGAGGCATGGCACCCATGATGGACTCGAAACAGCATGCAGTGCTTTTTCCCTTTTTATATTCACTTGATTTCTTGGTCTGCTGTGAGCCACACTGCTTGTTTGTGTGTTGGGAGAAGCAGGAGGAACCTGCAGCTGGACTGTGATTCCAGCCCTCCTGTGGCAGACACGCCAGAATGAATATTTGGGAAAGGTTGTACATGAAAGCATTTATTCAGAGGAACCCCGATCCAACCCCCTGCCCTGCATAGCCACCCCCATCAGACAGCTACTGACTGTGCTAGTGTAGCTTAAAGATCTTTACCATCTGCCAGAAGTGCTGCTGGCAGCACTGGTGGCCTGGGGATGCTGCTGTGCAGTCTCCTTGTGTTCTTTTTTGCCTGCAGAACTTGAGAGGAAAC